GTATTATCTAAATGTGAGAGACGAATACTACTTTCAGTTATTTCTCTCAATATTACATTTCGATGAAGTACCAAAGATCATATGCTGCTGATATAGAAAATATAATATTATAATGTTATTCGAAACTCAACGATTGAAACTGGAAATTTACGAGATTTGAGGCATCTACATACCTATTTATGCGATCGAAAAGATAGCTCGGATATCGAGATATATATACTTCAACGATAATAACGCCCAATAATATATCGCCGCGGAGCTACGTTCAATACTCGATTTCAATATCCGCGAACGAGGGCGTGCGTGTGCCCGATGTATGTTACAATTTTGTGCTGTTACTTTGATTTCGCCACGAATCTCTCTCTCAAAACTGCCGCCGAAGCGTCGGCGTGGTTGGCCCAGATATCAAGTTTGAACGACGGGCGTTTTCTCACGCGACGAAATCGAAAGAAAGAGATTTCGAAACACGAAATTTCGAAAATTTCCGAAATGTTCCACGCTGATTACAGCAAACACTCTGACGAAATTGTTTGCAATAACGTATCGCGTAAACGGTACGTCCGAGACATGTGAATTGATTTACTGCTGCCTGATTTTTGATACATTGCCTGAAAAAAGGCGATGACTGCGTTCAGCAAAAAAAGCTTGTTGTAACAGTTTTACACATACAACTATTGTATAAAGATCTTTAATATGATTGATTTATACATTTAGATCCAGTGAAAAATTAAGAGCAAGACCAATCATATTAAAGAATCCTACAATAGTTGCTGCTTTTTCTACTGAACGTAACCAATAATTGTAAGAATCATACAACAATTGCAAAGCTTTTTCTGCTGAACGAAACCATCGCCTGATGATCGCCAAGAAATGTTCCGGAGCGGATTTTGCTCGTCATCCGCATGCACAAGTTCACAGAGTTCGTTTACGTGTTATATTGATTCGCCGGCGAATTATAGACGCGCTCGGCGTGTTAGTTATGCTAATGTGTGTAATGCACGACGAAAGCACGATGTAAGCGGCGTCGACGTTATAGAACATAAAGTATCTTTCACAAAGGGGAATTAGACCCGGTGCCAATGGTATTGTAATGCACAATTATTATATCACGACCATAAGGGAAAGACTCGCTGAATTATTAATTTACTGCAATCCTCGAACTTAATGTGCGGCAATGAAGAATTAACGCGAAAAATTAACGCAGTCGACGAACCGGTTCTAATCGATTCAAATGCAGACACGAAGTAGAATAATAAACGTAAAGGAAATAAAGTTGCTTTTCAGTGAGTTGTTAGAAGAATTTCTTTCTTTACTGAAAATTCGTTTTCTAGATTTTCATCATATTTTCGATAAATGATGCTTTACACACATATCGAGAATAAAGTCCTCGACAAAATAAGAAATGCGACTGGTATTATGGGTTTTAACTGATTTTGCCATTTTCTCTTCAGATAGTAGTGGGAATTTAATTTCATTAAAGTCATTTTTGATCTATCAGTTCGCAATATTCATTACTTGTAAGCATTTCAATATTTTTATTTTTATGTTTACTTAAATCGGTTCTTTCCAAATAAAATTTTTTTTAAATGAAATTTTTTTCTTAAAAAATCTTAAAGAATCTTCGTGTATTACGATATAAATTCTTTGTATAAATGATGCGCAAAAAATACGATTACTCAACGATACAAATGCAATTGTAAAACGATATCACAAATTATTATATTGACGATACTAGAAGCGATTAAAATCGTATAAATCCATGTGTTTAAATGTCTTACACCTAAAATTACGCATGTAAGTTGCGCACGCCCATGTGCATCAACCTGATCCTTACATAATTCTCATCACGTACCTACTCTCGCATACGAAAGTTACATTCACGCCGCCAATTTCGTTAAGTTCCTTCGAACGTCGAGCATTGAACGTCGACACGAAGAAATCGATGGATTATTGTTGCCGGGCTGCATGCAGGAAGCTTTGCTTCAAGTTCCGAACATTTTTCTCTCCACGAATTATTCCCGCAATCATCAATTAACGCTCGATTAACTTCGCTCGATATCCGCGGGAAGAAACCCGTTATTTTCTTCAGTCTCCGATTCAGGACGTATTTCACTAACCGTAACACACCCGGTATATATCTGCGACCTATATTCATATCTCGCATTTTACTCCGAGTATATGTAAATAATTATCAGTTCGCGATAGAACCCGCGCGCTAGAAAAAAGCAAATAGAGCTGCTTGTCGCTGAGCGGATAGGCAAATATGACGGGAGAGTCCAGGAGGGGGGGCCCCTCGTATTTGTTTCCAGTTCGATTATTATTACACGACTGCGTGTCAGTGCGTGTGTATGTATGTATGTATGTACCAGTGTACGTGGTGCGCGGAAACGGGGAAAAAGAAAAGGTGAACGTTGTGACGGCGCTCGCTTGTTCCGACGATCCGGCGACGTTTTCCGCCGTGCCATTCATGCGCGTTGCACCCTGTTTACTGCTTCTCCTTTTTTTCCCCTCCCTTAACAACGACAGGAGAAACAAACGGCATCCCGTCCCGTGGACGATAGGTACAGTCGCGCGCGTGAATCCTCGCCGTTGTCGGCTCATTATCTCGATCGCCGATCGAGAATGGCGACGTTTATCAGACGAGCGAGATTTCCCGTCAGGAGGAGATACAGTGAGTTCCACTTTATTTTACTTCTCCGTGCCTTTTCTGGACGACGAAGGCAATCTTTTCCTGCCGCGAGTTATTACATTACCGAGTTCGGCGATCCGTACACTGATTATTACCCATGCGAATAATTAATAACCGGTCGTTGATTGCACGCGAGTGATCTCCCTTACACGGTAGTGATCTTTCTTTTCCTGCGCTTGTCTGGAGTAAGCGGTATCATCTTGCTCCGAAATGGACGGTCTCCGATTGCCGTCAAATTACTGGTATTTATGGTGTTGGACCGAACCTCTTTCGGAGCAATCGGAGCTGCGATGTTCAACTTTCGAAGCCTTTCCTTTTTACATAAATTAATAACTATATTTAATAAAATAATCTGGTAAAATTTATATATATTATAGTTTTGTGTTTACAAAACGTTCAAAAGCATCAAGTGAGTACTCCTTACTCATGTTACCTCTTCTTTCTAAAGCTTTTAGGGTGAATCTCACGCTGAAGAGTAAAATCTCACTCTTAAAGATTGAAAATTGAGCCACCCTTTTTTTAAGACTGGCTCAATTTTCTCTCTTTAGAGTGAGATTCCACTCCAAAGAATTTAGAGAGTTAAATGCGAGTATTTGAAAAATGCTTGAAAATCTCTTTTGATATGTAAGCTTAATTTTTTTCTATAATCGCAATACGTCTTTGGAGTAATTTTAGGAGTAACATATTTATTCCATTTAGAGCCAGTTATTTCATCTTCGAATAAACTATGTGATAATTTATCTAATGGATAAACAAAAGAGTAGATAAGAGAGTAAGAGAGTAAATTAAAATTTTTGTCAAAAGGTGGAACAACTCAAGCCTTGATAAATTAAATAGAACTAAATAAATAACCACTTCTCACTAATAAATGAAGTAATTTAGTTTTCTTAATTTTCGCCATCCCGTAATTATTTCGAGCTATAATATAATATTTGACAAATAATACTTTTGACCAATGCTTTATTTATTTTCCAATATTTAAAGAGAATCTCTGATAGACGACACATTGATAAACAATTGCGCATCCATTGATTTTTCTCTCAAAAATCCAATACTAATTATCCACATAATATACTTTCAGTTTCGGAACATTAAATAATTTATCCGATATATATTTTAAGAAAACTATCTCCTTATCTCTTGGTGAGATAAAAACAATGTTGAGAACATCACATTATGTAATCAGCATGTTTTTACGAGGCTTTATTTCAATTGTATACAACATAAAAATTTCTGATTCAACAAAAAAAGAAAAAGAAATTATATCGAAAGTACTCATATTGCTCGCGATTCTCTCCCTTCCCCTTCTTTCTCTTAACGTCTCTTAAGCTATCAATCTACAACTGCGTAAACGTAGTTGTAAATGGTTGTGAAATGTTATAAAGCAAAGTTTTAATCTGCCATTCCCGATTGTAAAGCGTGTTGTAAAAGATGGTTCAACTTTATCTTTCACGACTACGACTGCGTAAAACGTAAGAGTGAACCAATCAGAGTGCTGTCACGTGTCTACATCGTTATTGTCCTTTTTGTCTCGACATATGGAAAGAAGTGCAAAGTGTCTTTTTCATCTTTTATTGAGTTTATTGTATCATATATTATTTGACGAGTTTATTATATTACAAATATATTAATATTACGAGTATGGAACACGGAGAAAGTGTTGTGAGCAATGTTTAATTTGAAGACGAAAGTTCGTTGAATCTTTACTCGATTGTAGATTAATATGTTGTACATTTACTGCTACTACTACTCCCATAACCTTACGTCTACGTTTACGCAATTGTAGATCGGGCTTTATACATAATACACACGCTGCTTGTTACGTGATTCCGCACAATTACATAATGAATTCTCCGACAACGAATGAATGTCAGATCTGGACCTTGATTCCTGCGACGATCCATAACGATCTGTTGTTTTATGATACAAATTGGCTGATCGACACACGTGGTTCAAATTTCACCCCTATTGGCTACGTTTATTTACACCGTGCGCTTAGTACGCGATCTACACGATAGGTGTCTTTGTTTAACCTACAGAATAAACAAGGACATCTATTGTATAGGCCTAATGCATGGTGTAAACGTAGCCATTGTATTCAAATTAGGGGAAGAGCAAATTTAGGAAGGACTTATTTCACCAAACTTTCTTATAATCTATTACAATTTATTTTATTTATTAATATCGACCGATTTATTTTTACGCATATCCATCTTGATTTTTTCCTCAATTTATTCATTATTCTATCACTTGACTTATGTACTTCTCGATGGATCGAATTACTCACGTAGAGAAATGTTTTGTATTTCAGGTAAATCTCCGTTCTTCCCGAGTCTCGATGAGCAAGGGCTGGAGGATCCGAATGCGCCGAGCCAGTTGGACGGTGTCGGCGTTGGCGTCGGAGTAGGCGTCGGCGTCGGCGTGGGTGGCGGGATAACGGCTTCTCAAGCGGCGCCGCTCTCGTCGCCAAGTCGGAGCAGTCCGCACAGCCAGGGCAGCGAAACCGGCGAGCGTTTCTCGAGGAAAGTCTTCGTCGGCGGATTACCGCCTGACATTGATGAAGGTACGCAGTTTATATCATTTAAGATTGGTTATTTGCGGGACAAAACGTAACATAGTGACGTAATCACAACGCATCTTCTCAATTCAGACGAGATCACAGCCAGTTTCCGCCGTTTTGGTCCGCTTGTCGTGGATTGGCCGCACAAGGCAGAAAGCAAATCCTACTTCCCTCCGAAAGGTTACGCATTTCTGCTGTTCCAGGTACGTTTTTTCGACTCCTTCCGCTTCTTTTTTTCATTTTCAAATTTTGTGAATTAATAAAAATAAACTAATAGTATAATTAAGAAAAAGACTGGAAATAAAAATAACAAAAATTAATGATAATCGAATGTGTCATGTGATTATTCCAGGACGAGGGTTCGGTGCAACAGCTGATAGATGCCTGCATCCAAGACGAGGATAAGCTTTACCTTTGCGTAAGCTCGCCCACGATCAAGGACAAGCCCGTGCAGATCCGACCTTGGCGGCTCAGTGACGCCGACTTTGTGCTGGACGCCTCCATGCCGCTTGATCCGCGAAAGACAGTCTTTGTCGGCGGGGTGCCGCGGCCGCTCAAGGCAGTCGAGCTCGCGATGATCATGGATCGGCTTTATGGTGGTGTCTGTTATGCTGGCATCGACACCGATCCTGAGCTCAAGTATCCCAAAGGTGCCGGCAGGGTCGCCTTCAGTAATCAGCAAAGCTACATAGCTGCCATCTCAGCCAGATTCGTACAGCTGCAGCACGGCGATATTGACAAAAGGGTAAATATGAAGAAGAAAAATCCTATTTTTTAAGGATTTGCTTGAACGAATAACATCTCTAAACTCGGTATTTATCGTTTGTTCCTATTTCAAAGTCATTTTAAGTAATATCTTAAGATGCTAATATGACTCTATGATAGTTCATGCTATCTTAAGATTGTACTTAAAACGTTCTTAAATATAAAAATGGACTATATGAATACCGGTCTAAATGAAGCATTTAGGACAAGAATAGAAGATCTAAATCCATGATTGGTAAGCTGTTTTAAAGATGGGACATCTTTACAAATTACGAACATTGTTCCTCAAGCAATTATTCTTGTTCTAAATATACTTCGAGAATTTCGTACTTTCTCTAATCATATAATAATCTTTCGAATAGGTTGAAGTCAAACCATATGTTCTGGACGATCAGATGTGTGACGAATGTCAAGGCCAGCGTTGCGGAGGCAAGTTTGCACCGTTCTTCTGCGCCAACGTCACCTGCCTACAGGTATATTTCAATCGGTTCATCTTTATTAATAAATAGTGAAGGATATCTATAAAGTAAAAGTGCGGTTTTTATTATCAATTAATTTGAAGCTAAAGTTCAAAATTTCTATGCAAATGTCATAGCAAAAAGCAACTCCATTAAAAAAATTAGATTTTCGGAGATTTCACTGAATTTCACTTTTTTATTAAAAAAACTATATTCTTTTGAATTAAAGCTAAAATTATATTTGTATCTTTTAATAATGAATTGATGGGAGATTTTTTCTATTAAGCCTTTATTTTAATAAATAATTATGCCTTTGTTTTAATGAAATAATTATTTTATTGAGTTAATCTCCAATAAAATTTCTCTTATCTCTTGTATCAATAAGAGAGAGAGAGAGAGAGAGAGAAGATTAAATTTTTTGAATTTAATTATAAAATCCGAATTATATAATACTGTCTATTTTCAGTACTACTGCGAGCATTGCTGGGCAACTATTCACTCCCGGCCAGGTCGGGAGTTCCACAAGCCGCTGGTGAAGGAGGGCGCGGATCGGCCTCGGGCCGTGCCTTTCCGTTGGTGTTAACCCCAGCTGCGTTGTCCCTAATTATCTCGCAGCCCTAGCTAATTAACTACCACCTCTACCAATATCTCCCCACCCTCCCCTCACGTGCCCCAACCAACCCTCACTTCCCTCCGCCTCCCATATTACTTACTTACTTACCTACAACAAGAACACAGCCTCAAAACTGCTATTACTACTACTACTATTACTACCACCACTCGATCGTTACGTACTATCACTACTCTACTCTATTACCACTATTATTACTATTACTACTACTACCACAACTACTATTCTACTACAAATTATTACTACTACTACTACTACTACTACTCCACTGCTACTACTTCAAGTTGTACCGGTTATACTGGAGGAAGAAACCAGCCGCTGTAGATCGCCAATCGATGCAGGTTCTTGGCGTTACTCCGATCTTCGACCTCGCATCCATAACTACTTGCTAACGATCGCCGATATCATCGTCGGGCAAAACTATGTCCATCTAGATGACTTTGCCGAACCGGAAACGGATCTTGCACCCGACGAAGGCGCCGGAAGGCAGCCAAGAAAAGAGGGAATGATCGGATCCACGCCAAGCCGATATCGTCGAGCCGAAAAAAACGAAGAAGAAAATGAAGAAAAATACACGCCGAGACACAGGATTCAGAAGAGAAATGGACACGGATTCTCAGTATATCGATTACTCGTACACATATAATCCTATCTGTCTGCGCTGTAAAATGCACCGGTTCTGTCCGAAAGATCGAGTTGTTAGTTACCGCGAGTCTCGAGGAGCGAGCAAGCGAGGGAGGGGCTGCCGCCGTCATCATCGCCGACCTCGTGTACGCACCCCGCGCCAATTGTCGGCATCAATCCTCCTCGAGTGTTTACCGAAATCGCCGGCAGCGCGATTGCGATACGGATCCGCCTCGTGCTTGCGTCTCGTTCTGCCGCGGATCGCCCCTTCCAAGTTCGACTGCCGCATGCCACGAGAAGGAAGGAGTTTCTTCCCATGTCGTCCATCCCGATCGAGCGAAATTTTGATTTTGCGAAGCGTGTCATCCTGATGGACGTTGGCGGAAGCGACTTCTTGACAAACGGGGCTCGTGTTTTCCCACCGACGTCGTCCATTTGGACAAAAGCCCGAACGAAAACCCGCGCTCCCGAGCGACGTAGTGATTCCCGCGCGACGAATGTTCGTAAGAAACGCGAGTACCTGATCCGACGCGAAAGTGTGTTGTCAGAGTGAGCGAATGAGATTGGAAGAGCATGCGAGAAAGAGACGAGGAAAGAATGAGGGGGTGATAGTGGAAGCAGTGACATCAGAAAAGACGCGTAGGTGATGAGGGCCGGTGGGAAACCTGGAAGAGGGTAATAGGGAGAGAGGATATAGAGATGATATAAAGAGAGTGACAAATCGTCCGCATTGGATATTAATCAGTAATGAAAAAAGCCACGCTTCAACCTGCTGTGTAGGTAATTCTCTGTATCACAAACCCAAAACACACATACACACACACACATTCGTACAAACATGTACACATATACACAGTTTTCTAGTTATTAAGAACTTATTAAAAATATGTTACATAGAGATGCGTTGTGTAATGCGTTTCTTGTACGGATAACGCAACCGCGCGCTCATAGGGAAACATTCGACAAAATGATTTTTTACTAATTAACTTATTCAAGTGAGAAGAAAATAATGCGTAGATGAAAACATAAAAGAAACATAAGTAGGGGAACTGAAAGTTTAGGGAGAATAGGTGTCATACGGGTGACGGAAGGAGAGGTAAAACGGAAATCGAAGTAATTTAATTTTTCGATCGCGAACGGCTGTATATGACATCGTGGCGGCGTGCTCCAGGTTGTCCAGGCCTGCCTAAGCTAACATCCGCGTGCCGAGTTCTCTACCAATTTTCTTTCCCAAAAAACCGATGTGAGTTACCTTCACGAACCTTCGCGCGAGAAACGAAGGGGTTGCGAAGTCGAGCTCTCGAAGAGGAAAAAGGCCCGCTACTCGCTCGTGGGGAACGCGAGAATCGAGGGTTGCTGCTACCGCCGTCGATGACGAATTTTACATTTTGACTTTATTACTACTACTACTATGTGCAATATAAACGGTCACTCTTCGTAGTTTACGCTGACGAGAACGATCGGCAATACGCTAAGCGTATTTTCGGAATGCGACGTGCGCGCGATTTCCCTCCTCCTCGAAAACGTTCGACAGTAAGCACGGAATGTCCGCGAACATCCGCGTCTGAACTCGTACATCCCTCTTCTTCGCGAAACGAGCGGTGTACCTCGCTGATCCTTTTTCGTGGCGAAACGATCTCGCGCGCTCGACTTTGCGAAAGATCAGGAAAAGAGACGCTCGTGCAAAACGGGACGCAAAAGGGGTGGTGTCGTTTCTCGAAACCAAAGTAGCGATAGAAACCGTGATTCGCGGAATACCGGAGCAGCGTGTTATACATAGAATGATCGTATCTAATTACTCTCTTCATACGTCCGATAGATGATTTGCAAGAGTGTGCGGCGCGTCTTGAGGGGGTCGCGTTTCGCGCGGAACATTATAGATTCATACATTATATATATATACATATAGAGAACGCCGCATGTTGTCCGCTCCTGTACATACATACTGATCCCTCTACCCTAACTGATTAATCAATTAACCGGCGTTTATTAATTGCGACCGCGAGTGTGCACGTTTTCTTAATCCCTTCAAAATGAAACGGACTTTTTCGCTGGGTGTATATAATCAAACGCAATCGCCGTAGTTCAAGTAAAAGGATGAAAGAAAAAAAATTGGAAAAGGAGGGGGGGAGAAAAGAACTTCACTTTTCGCCGAGACGTAGGATTTCTATACCCGAAAGGTTTAGTATAGAGAGAGTCTTGTGGTTGGACAGATAGCAGGACCTCTGTAAATTTCAAGCATGACGCTTCCTAGCGCTCGTCCTTTTAGCAGATGCGACGGTGATCCCGGCAAAGTTTAATCGACGATTTTTCGACGCGTTTTACCGAAAGCAATTTCTCGCACCGCCACTCGTCTCTCATTTGACAATATCTTACAATACGTAACATAGGATACTTTTGATAACTCTGTAGTAGAGGAGGCAGGCTTAAGCGCTAATACCGGACATTCGTCACCTCATTAGTGACTCTTTTGTTGTGCAAAAAAAAGGCGTGTCTTTTCACAATACTTCCGACAATAGCCGGATTGTTCCTTCGCGAGACGGCCGAAAGGTTGTGGGGCTGGGAAGCGTCGTACTCGAAATTAGTATGCAACGTTGTGTGTTCCGCTTCGTAGATAACAAAAAAAAAGCCACATTCTGAACGTAGCAGCAGCAGCAGTTGGAAGACGTAGTTTAAACCTCGCATGACGAGTCTCTCTCGCGATACTCTTCTTCTGCACACGTATCGGACTTTGTACAATTCGCGACACACATAAACACACAGACACATGAGAGCACACAGCACACAGGCGATTACACGACCGAGATGATACATCCGTATTTGTGTACGGATTTAACGAGGGAAGGGACAAAAAGAAATAATCCTTACACACACGTCTATATATATATATATATATATACACATATATATTTATTTTTTTGGTACTCCTTTTTGTATATATATATGATATATCTTGTCTCGCCGCGTGTAGAGATGATAACCGGTGGCGTTTATTAGAGGCACCGTACGGGAGGGAATGCGTTATTATTAGGCGGATGCTGTGTGACGGAAGTCGCAGTAAGAGAGGCGCGTTCAACGACGACCCTCCGTCCCTTCGTCTGAGACACACCGTTCGGCCCGCGAAAACACGAGGACACGTGTGTGGTGTGGTGAAGGGGGAGAAAAATTAATAAATCCAATATGATAGAGCGGGTGAGGAAGAAACGAGTTCTCGTTGCCGGCCCTCTTTGACTCGTGTTCTCAATTAAGATAGATTAGGTTCGTATCTGATCGAAACACGGGCAAAATTTTAGATAAAATAGGAAACGAGTAAAAACCAAGGGACATGTGTAGAAAAGAGTCGCCCGCGCGACAAAAGGTTTTCTGATAAGGGAAGGGCGAACACTAGCATATAATTGTACACATAAATTAGTAGAGTACATAAAATTTTTCTATCCGTTGCTATCTCGCAGTAATTCTAAATAGACACGATCGACTTTTTCTTACACACTTAACGGAAGCCCAGAACTGTTTCGATCGAGAGGAAAGAATCGGCTGGAGAGAGAAGAGAGGATTGATGTGGAATGGAGAACGGACATCGTGAGAATGAGAAAAACTTAAAAGAAAGACGCGAAGAAGGGAGGGGGGCACAATGAGAACGTGAGCATTAGTTAGTGCAATTTTACATACGAGTCACCGTTCTTGTAAGTCGAACGAAAGAGAGAGAAAGGAGAGAAAGAAAGAGCGAGAGTGAGAGAGAGAGAGAGAGAGAGAGAGAGAGAGAGAGAGAGAGAGAGAGAGAGAGAG